AAAGCGCGCAAGTCGGCAAGCTGATGCGTCACTAACCATCTGCCGTGCGCGCTTGCGTGTTGGCGTCAATCTTGTCGAAGCCCTACACCTGACGCTTCCTGCATTTATCTGCGGGCTTGAAAGTAGTGCACCTTTTGGGTTTCTAATCTATCCACTACTATTCGCACACAATTTCCTCACTCAATTCACCATAGTGTAGTGAATTACTTCAATTATGCACATAACATCACTTTTGGAGAAAAAAGGCTCCCTAATTTGTTGACAATTGGGTGCTAACTTAGTTGGGGGGGGGGGGGGCACGCGGCGGCGCGGCAGTCTGCTCACCTGGGCTCTCTCGAGCGAGACAGTGTAAACTCGAACATTCCAGCTTTTCACGCATGTCAAGTGACTGCCCCCACCCCCACCCCTAGGCTGGCTACACTCCCCCTGGCCCACGGATTTCCGAACATGCCAGGCGAGCAGACTGCCGCGCCGCCGCGTGGCCCCCCAACTAAGTTAGCACCAGCCATTTCTCAAATCACGTTATTCATACCATTTTTACCGAAGCGCATACAACAATCTGTCTAATCGAGCAGATGCCGCGGGTTTTTTGTGATCATTGTTTGAAGGGGTGGTCATGATATTTTGAGAAGGTCAATAATACAGAATCAGGAAATGTGTGCGAAATTAAAGTCCGTGGCGTGAGAGACGGCATTATCCAGATCTCATATAAGGATCTGGATGGCGTAGTGTGGAAAGGTGTTTGACGCGAGACGTAAACTTGGTTGGAGATGCGTTGATTTGTGTTAAGGAGAGCCCCGTAGAATCAAGAAACACCTGCAAGAAACATTTTTCTTCCGAATTAGGAATTTCCGAGGTTCCAATCGGCGTTCAGTCACAGAGGTGAGTTGATTGGCCGAAGCACATTCATCACACGACACGAACGACTTGCTGGTCGGTTGACTGGCTGGCCTTGTTCAGGTCATTGAGGGCGACATCTTTATCGCGCCGTACGTAGCTCTGATCGATGTCACCTCGACGATAACTCTCTTACCTAATCAAACCGATCAAATATGTGTCTATTTTTTATCATCGACCTTTATTCTTTTGGCTTATTATTATGACATATTTGGAGCAGTTGAGTGCGGGGCGTAGCCATTCTGCAACAACACCAACACGTTCCTTCATAGGGTTGGTTCAACAGTTATAGCTCAGCACCTAATTTTCAAGCTAAATGAGCGCTAAAACGGCGAACGAGGTGCTATGAATGAACTTCAAGAATGATTCATCCGCATGGAGACCTTATAATTAGCCAAAACTTATGGAAGGAAAGGGGCGGCTTCTGTCTGCAGTAGAACAGCCCTCAAAACAAAGCCGCCATCCTACGGCTGTCAATCTTTCGTTTTCAGAGGCGGCAATCCTCGAAACATCTTCAGTGCACGGCTGCCTCTGTGAATCATTACAGTAACCACAGCGCGAGGCTGAACACGTTTCGTACGGCTGACCTAATTGCGGTGCGACTGGATGGAAGGCCATCTCGGGCGCCTATCAGATCTTCCGCGGTCGGTTACCCGCGCCACTCCTCCCAGCCGCTCAAATGTACCCTCATAGTGCCGCCGTCCTGCTTTAATTGCTAGTCGTTTTGTGACAGTTATGACCTAACTCCGACTCACCGTACTATACCTCTTGCCGGCCTTATTGCACATTCCTCTTCTCTTCACGACGAAACGAATAGGATCATTTTCTCCCGGCAAAGGCAAAATTGATAGTCTAACTGAAGTTCAAAGTCTAGGACGGATTGATCCGCGATCGACCCTACTCGGCCCAATAACCCTTATCTTGAATCTCATTCCTCAAGAGGTTAAGTTCTTCTTATGACATCATTTAATTACCAGTTTCGCCCTCATTTTCTTCTTCCTTCTTGCCTGGGTAGGTTACTTCGATGTCGTTTTTCGATTTCACAGGCGATTATTGCCAGAGCTTTCGAGGGACAAAAAGCTGTTCTCGAAACATATGAGGTAGATTGCTGAGAATAAGGTAGTGTACCTCTGAACCGTCAATGGCCTTCTCTACCTGCTTGCACGTTGCTACCACAATAGGCATGTCACTCTGTCGGTTCCTCTCAGAGAATTAAAAATGCCCTACTGTCGCCGTTGGGTCCTTTTTTCACTGTTGATCACCGAATGTACCAGAATTAACTGTCTTTGTATCCTGCTGAAAAAGCATGTGTGCAACGTATTGTTTATATTTACATTTTGACCACAACTTGCTATATTTGAATTTTAAATTGTTGAAGTATCCTTCCCCACCAACAGTTGCCCTTCGTTCCGCTCATTTTCGATCCTACTCAGGTACCCAGCAATCAAAGACCAAGTCACTTTACAACGACCATAAAAACTCTGGGTTATCGGCTCTGACGCTGTTTGACTTCAAACGTGAGCAGAATGCATCGCGCCTGGCTCAGACTGTGGCCG